TTAAGCAATCAATTGATCCAAAAGTTAAGACTTCGCGCACTTACATTCTCAATTTCAATCATCTAATTAAGTTACTTGCCAAAGAAAGACTACCAATAGGGATGGACCCACGTTGGAGCAAAGGTGGTCAATTGACCCCTGAAAACCCGAAAAACGCCATGGAAAGCAAGAGAATTGACCCCTGGTCGTGTTTGATGGCTGGGCAAGAGTGCCCAGCAACTGCTCGATGAAATGTCTACATGAAGAAGGCATGGCAGCACCTGCCCGCTCTCGCATGCTGCCTTCCGTCTTCTTATTTGTTTTCGTTTTTTGACCTAGCCAAAACGACACCATCCAGGACCAGGTCACTTAACTTTTATTTTATGTTATTTTATTATCATGGCCTTTTGTACAGGTTTGAGAAAACAAAAGCCCAAAACAGAGCTCTTCCCCAGCTCGATATTAACAACCCCACCTAATTAAACTTTTCTTATTTAATTTAAATTATATCTAAATTTTCGAGTATATCTCCCTATCATTGAAACCAAACCAGAGTAATATTTAACTGCACACAAATAAAAATAATTTTCTTTTTAAGTTTTCTAATTTCCGAAATATGCATATAACAATCTTATAAACATGTTCCTCATTGAAAAAAAATCTAATAAATTAACATGTTCTCTAAAAAAAAAATCTAATAAACATGCATATATATACACACACACTAAAACCACATGTATGTATTTTTATTGCATTTTCATTCATTTCTACGGGTCTTCTATACGTAAAAAATTGTGAGCTTATATATGTTGACCTTCGAAGATAAGATTTCTGGAACCGTCCCTGACTACCAACCAACTTTTTGCTTATGATCCTCGACCCTTCTCTTCTTTTGCGGTTGTAGAAGCTTTGACTTTTTTTTTCCATAATTGTCAGCTTGATGTTCGGCCACTGATCAGCGTTTGGCTTGTGCTAGCTAGCTGCTCACACTGGTCATTCTTTGTTTGGTCAGGCTCAATTTGTCTGTTGAGAAAGTAAAACCTTGCACCAAAAATACATAAAAACTTGGGCTACTTATATTAATTGTCAATTAATTTTTTATTGGATGCTCTAATCCATTCGGACTTTAGAAACCTTGTTTATTTGATGGGTTATTAGGGGAAGGCTAGATGATTAGTGCAAACACAATTACACGATACTAAATATGTCGATATTTCTTCATATGTCAAACATGTATGTAGTTTTATTAAAAAGTTTTCAATGATATTTTATGTACCAATTGTCAACTGGTTACGAATCTATCGCATTCAAAAAAGTACTGTATTTAAAGCCATTTGTTTTCCAACATTGGGTGGTGTGTGGGGTTATATGCTTTCCAAGTCAAATGCTTTCCAAGTCAAATGGTTTATTGGGTATATTTTTTGAAGTGCCTCATCCCCAGCTTAAGTCAACCCCTTCTATTAGACTTTCGATTGATCAGCCCATTGAACATGCAAAAAGAAAATGGCAAACATAATCGTTACCACAAGACACGTTGTCTCAATTCCATTTCAAGTGTCAACATAGTCAAATCTTGCTGTCCCTTTTCCTCCTCTTTCGGTGGATCCCAACTTTGTTTTTTTCGGATGGAAACAATGAACATATGATGTTTACATTATTATAACAAGGTAAGCGTGGCTAATTATCAGTAAAGTCAGCATAATCATGAACTAAAATGATGCCTAAAAATATGATTAAATGGTAATCAATATTAAGAGCCAGGGAAAAGGAGCCATGGAAACCCACTGGTGATTGTGCTGGCATACGTAATGAATGATGCATCATATATAAATACTGGTCATCTATAGCCAACTCAGCCATTTCAATCAATGCAATGGCGAAGTGCCATAAGCATAATATATACAATGCAATCTCTCAAAACTTTCCTTATGAATTATATATATATATATATATATATATATATATATTGGGCATCTTCATTATTTGTTTCCTGTTGTGATATATAATATTTGTTTGCCTTGGTGTTTAAAAATATTGAGCATCTCTACTTGGTGCCAATTGAATTTTAGTTAAATACTCACATTCTAATATAGTATCAGAACATGCTATTCATGCTCTGATATATTAATTAGCATTACCCGAGTGTTCTTGAAACACAATTAATGGCATACCTTAAAACAAAATTCGTATAATGTGTCTTTTATTTTGTTTGTTTGAACCTAGGATTTCGGATGCATAGATAAATACTCTTAATCAATTGAGCTATAAGCTCCTTACAAAACTTGTTGTGTAACATCATTAACTGAAAATTCCCAAAAAGGACAATTAGGTATGAGAAAATAAACATGCTTCTTTTGGGTAACACTTTGGCATCACACTTTCTTATATCAGGGAATCTTTTCTCTACAAGGGCCATATATGACCACAACATTTCTATTTTCAACTTCTTTATTTTTTACCAAACAAGCCATAGTATTTTATTAGATCAATTAAAAAAGTGCATATAAAGCCATCTCGATTAGTAATACAACGGACATGGGTAAAGCTTCCCTAGTGACTAGAGTAAGCTCTAGAGCTAAAATGATCTTAAGAAAATAAATCGCAAAGAACTTGTCTAAAAACCCCTATCTACCTTCTAAGTTGTCCTAGATCAAGTCAGTTACATTAAGGACAAAACGTGACGGCTAACCAACATAACTTTGCTAGAGAAACTAGACCACCCAACTAATACATCAAAATTCTGGGAATTACAAGAGAAAACCAGACAATTCATAGAGTTTCTAGACTTTAATAACAAAGTAAACCAAATCTAAGAAACCAAACAACACCAACTAAAGGAGCAGCAACACTTTGCTTTGCAAATGGTGCACAACCAAAGCCATTCAAATCCATAACAGAGGCAACAAAGATCTGCCAAGAGGAGAGGAGCATCGAGGGGGAATAAACCCCTAGATATGAAGCTTCTCGTTCTAACTCTCCTCCGCCCGCTAAGACATGGTGTGTTGTGAAAATCTACAGGATTAGAGACAGCCACAACCAAGTTTGCAAAAAAACAAAAAAAACAAAAAACAAAAAACAAAACAAAAGGAGCAAGAGGAAAGGAGGGGCAAGGATGGACGGAGGAAGGGAGGAGAAGAGAAGGGAGGGGGATGGGAAGTCATCGACCCCAAAAGAGCAGCAGCTCTAGGAGTTTCTTCGCTTGATGCTCGCTCGAGTGAATATTTGGTACCTAAATGTGTTTAGATGAGGAAATTTAAAAGTACCAAGGAATTCATAAATGACGGAAATTAATATTCTAGAATTTGTAAAATTTCGTGTTTGACTAACATATTTAAACATGTAATTTAATATTTATTTGTAAAGTTATTTTTTTTTAAAAACTCAATCTCTCCTGGAATTTTAGAAATGAATACTATTTAGATAGAATTTAAAGTTGGGATTTATGACCTCCAAATTCCATGTTTTTTTCCACACGGAATTTATAAATTTCTTTGTTTTGTTATCCAAACACCGGAATTGGTTTGTGTCAATTTAGAAATTTTGAATTTTATCAAAATTTCAAGTTTATTTCTCTTATGAAAACGCACTGTAAAAAATATTAGTAACTTATTCAGAACAACCTTCTTAGTTGATTAATTAGCAGGCATACAAGCGCGTTATAGGAAACAAAATACATAGGCAAATAAAAGTTGCACTATTGATGCTTTCTGTCGGTTGGCTCAATTTCTCAGTTAAATTTAGGAGTAAATTAGCAAGTTGATTCTATAATACTAAAACAATTAATAAAATTAAAAATTAAAAGAAAAAGGAAAAGGTGTGGGGGAGAGAGAGCTTCACCGTGGAATTGAGTTTGGGAGGGTCGTGAGAGGAGTTGTGTATGGCAAGTGTCGGCGGAGCCAGGAATTGAGGTTAGAGGGAGCCATCTTGCAAAATATAAAAATAAAGGGAATGAGAGCATAAACACTACAAGTTCTCGTAGCTAAAGTAAAAAATCAGAAAATACGCTTTAAATTACAGCTTTCACACATCAAGTTATGATTGTTGTACATATAAAACCCGTGTATCATTTTTCAATATTCAATTCAATTCATATACACAACATTAAATTATTTACACATAGAGAGAGAAAGAAAAGAAGAGTGAAATTGCTGGAGAGAGAGAGAGACAGAGAGAGAGAGAGAGAGTGAGAGTTAAGTAGGGGCCTGGGACTCCTATGGTCCCTACGTGGCTCCGCCACTTGGCATCATGACGGGGTGTGTTGGTGGGGGACGGGAATGAGAGAGAGAAGAGTAAAAAAAGTTTTTATGTTTTGTTTTGTTTTGTTTTGTTTCTTTTTCTGAATTTTTTAAACATTTAAATCAATGGAGGACCCAACGGAAGTGGTATTTTGCAATCTGTTGGACACTCATTTGAAATGTTTGAAAAATTTTATACAACTTAAACCTACCACCAAAAACATGTTAAATTGGAAGGTTAGCTACTTCATCCTAATCAAATAGCTAGTTGATTGCTTATAAACTTTAGCCAAGTGGCATGGGATGAGTAGGGTGATCGTGAAGATTATTTATTTATTTATTATTATAGGATCTTCTATTTTGTTTTATGGTCGCATTGTTCTAGGAACTGCATCCTGATCTCATTATCTACAATGACATTATTTGTTGACCCAAAAAGTAAGGTACCACGTACACATAACCAATGTTATTCTATTGCCACACCCCACAACAATTTTGGTATTGACACATTTGCAAACTATATTGTGTATCGGGGTGGAATTTACCAATACAATGAAATCCATCTCTATTAAATATGTGGTATATAAATGTGATATAACTAACATTTCCGCAATAGATGAGTTTTCATGTGTAGTTGGTTCCATTTTTCGTAATGCTAGATTAAATCAAGCTTATTCGACGTACACATAATTCATGTCGTGAATAAATTTACTTGCATTCTTGGGGGACACTATTTTAATCACACAAGTGCCTAAATAAGTATACACATGCATTGCTACACTTAATTTATGCCTGTTCCTTCAAATCTTGTTCACTAATAAATGTACCATGGAATCCATATGGAACCCTAGCGGGCAATCTCACCAACCCCACTTGCTTCATGCTTGAAGCTTTCAATATCACTAGCTCCGAGCTCTCATCAACCTCGTCCCTCACAAAACCCATTATAAACCCATCATCATCTTCTTCAACATGGTTTCCCATGCTATCATTTTTCCTTTTCGGCACATAAAAGGGTTCACCTCCAAACCGGCCGGTCCCATACAAATGCTTAGTCACCGAACCAGTTTCCAAATCCACCTTAGCAATGCCCGAACACTTGGGCCACGGCTCGGCTATAGCCATGTACACATACTTGCTCTTTCGCCCTACCACCTCTTTATTCACTTGCCCCACTTCCAAATTCAAACCCGGGACCAAGACACGGCGGCTTGATTCTCGAGTCCTCAAATTCATTTGCATTTCCGTCAATTCAGCCCGAATTGGGTTGTTTTCGTGCTCGTTAAACACCGAATCAGGTGGGTCCATGCACGACCCGATCACAACAATAATCGGGTCACCCACTTCCGAAGTTTCCTCCCATGCATTACACAAATGGAAACAAAAGCAATTGGGCACGTCAATCCACTGAATCCCCGATTCATCCACATCGTTTTTAGGCAAAATTCCAAACCGAGACGTCTTGTTCGGGTTGTAGATGACGGGCGACCCGCCTTTGATCATTTCGGATAACTTGAATACCACTTGCTGATCCGGGATCACCACATAGTTCTGGGTTATAGCAAAATCATGCACCATAGTTGGTTGGTCTAGCGTGATGTCCACGTCACGTGACTTTGTCCCGCTCGCGCCAAACTTGAAGTACTTGAGGTACGGTTTCTTCACCACGTCGTAGCTCAGCACGTAGAGCTCACCCGTTACGGGGTCCACCTTGGGATGAGCAATCATGGGCCGGTCCAGCCCACCGTTAAAATCGAACCGTCCAATTGTTTCAAGATCACCATCACCCTTGATTTTCACATTGTACGGAAGATCATCTTCGGACATGGCTAATAATCGTCCGTTAAAATAAACCAAGCTAGCATTAGCCACGCCAGTCCCACGAGAGCAGTCAACCAAGCCGACTGCGGCTCGAGCCATGAACAAGCAGAGCCGAGCCAGTCCTGAGTGACCATGAAGCTCACCAATCGGCTTCGGGAATATAGACCTGCCCATCTTGACTTCTTGCTCTAGCCGGCTCGTGCGGGTGTACCTACAGCTGTAGCTGGCTCGGTTAGCTGAGCCTAGAGTGAGCGCGTGGATCATTCCGTCCCCATCAAACAAGTGGTGTCCGCCTGCCGGCGCAAACATTGGATTGGCGCCGTTTCGGACATAAACGCCACGTAGACAATCTGGGATTTGACCCACTACCTCTAAACCGTACTGAACTGGACACTCCCGAACCGGTGAGAAATTACCGGATATTTGGACCGCCGGGTCAATGGTTTTGGGCAAACTTTGCTTCTTTTCTAGAGGCTCTATCAGTGAGGTTTCTATTGTGTTCAGGAGTGAGGCTGCTAATTTTTGAAGTGGGTTTAGGCGAGGTTGGTGAATATTGGGTTTGATAGGGTTCAATTGTGGTAACAATGGTTTAGTGTTTGGCCATAGAGGTTTTTGGGTTTTCTGGGGTAGGGTTTTCTTGGATGGGTTGATGAGGATTTTGCATGTGATCTGTGTTGTGGGTGAGCGAGTAATTTGAATGGAATTTTTGGGAAGTGTGGAAGAGGATGGTGGAGTGTTGGTGGTGGTGAAGTGCAAAGAGGCATGCATAACTACAATTTTAGAGAGAGACACAGAGAGAGAGAGAGAGAGGTGTGATGAATAAGATGTGTAGAAGGGTGAATATATAGTAGAAGTGGAAAGTGTGTTGAGTGGGGTCTAGGTCACATTTCCAGCAAGTGATAAGTGGTATATATATATGGTTCTTGCTTGATCTCGATCGTTAAGAGTGTTGAAGATCATATGTGTGTAGTTTTTCTTCTCTGTTCAACCTTCAAAGATATATACAGAAAACAAAAATCTCAAAGTTCAAAGAGAAACAAACCTAATTGGAAGAAAATTACACATGTTCAAGGTAGAAGATACTTGTGGACACGTAAGTATCTTTTGCTTTCTCAGTCCAAGGAGGTACTTATAATTGACACGTAGTAAATATATGAACTATACAAGGACACGTATCACTCCCAAACAAATTTATGTGCCTGATTAATGGTAAGATGAGATTGATGAAACAAACACGATTGTTAGTTAATGCCATGCCTGTTTAGAATGTAAAATTTGAAAGATAGGGAATCCATTTGATGTTTTAAGTTGGTTTGAGTATAAGCCAGTAGGTAGCTCAGTCGGTTGAGTTCTTTTACTTTCATTTATGTGGGCAGAGATTCGTAACTCTCATTCAATATCTCGACCTTTTAGAGCATTTCTTTCAGGCTCCCAAAACCCATTCCAACGGTGAAATCTAGCTCTAGCAAGACGTGGGGTCCATCAAGCCCAGGCAAATGCCCTTGGGTTGCCATGGCGATGGGTAGAAAAGTTTTTTTTTTTAAATGTTAGGGTAGATATTATTAACGTGAACAGTAACCGTCCTTACTTGCTATTGTTCTTATTTGCCATGAAAAATGGATGTAAGTACTCTTAGAGCTTAAATTTTACGTTAGCCCAAAATCTGATACTTCAAACCTAAAATCCAAGCTATAAATGGTGATTCTCACCGTAAACAATTCACCGTATCAATAAATGAGATCAAAGATTAAGAAAATTAAATAGACTTGATATTCGTTCATAAAGTACTTTCATGGTTCTTCCAATTATTAGCTAATGTATAATGTTATTAACAAAGTCTAAATTTCTCAATCCAAATATGGCTCAATGCGATGTTGAAATATAAGAAACCATTATGGTTAGATGTTTATCATTGGATTGGATCGGATCGCATGTGCATCATGCATATTAGCTCTAGCATTGAATTGAATTTTGGTTTTTTATTTAGAAATAGAACACACACAAAAAACAAAAACAAGGAGATAAACAAATAAGGTGATCTACGCATGAATTAGGAATGACATATGTATATACAAGGACACATGGGTGAGGAGCTCTTGACCACCTCCTCCCTTGTCCATTTGACCTCCATGCAAATGAATGCAAAGCCATGACCAGATGCATATGGTCACCCACGTGAACGGCATGGCACCTTCCCTATATATATATGTATTGTCATTTCCAAGCCCTTGGTTTCTTCCTCTACCTTTTGCAGTCGATCGAGAGCTGAATTGCATGGCTGGTTAGAGTGTGAGTTTGCCGTTCTCCTATTTCAACGCGTGCCCTAAAGGACAGTCATTTGTCTACGTGTCTTTTACAGGCAATTGAAACCCACGTGGAGGAGTGACTAGAGTCAACCCATGACAACACTTTAAAAAAACAGTGGCGTAACTAATAATAGTGACTATTTCCAATTTTTTTTTTAGTGCAGAGAAACTATGGTTTGCTTCTTGGTTTCTTTTTTTATTATTATTTATTTATTATTTTTTTTTTTTTTTTTTTTTTTTTTTTTTTTTTTTATAACAATAGGTTAAACTACTTAATCTAAAATCTAAGGGGGTGCGAAATTTGAATTTGAGTGTAAGGGAGCAAATTCATTGTCACCTCACGAGATGGATTATATGGTTGTACATATTTATAATGGTATAAGTAAAATAACTCGGATTGGATTATATCTAATTCTAGTAGGCCCTAAATGTAATAGGATTTTGAATTCCACATATAGATGATGATATCTATACAGATGGATCGTACTAGATCATGTAATAATATATTTCAATTAATTTAACCAGTAATTATGTGTAGTACCAAACACATCATTGTTTTGTTGAATATAATTCAATAGAATCCAATTTTATTTCATAATTTAATTCAATTTCAATGACCAAACATGACCTAAATATATACAATTGTTTTGTACACTGAATAACAGATGAATTACTAATATTACATATATGATGTTAATTGTATGATAAATATAAACTCACTTGAGTATTTTTGTTTTTTGAGAACCCAAAGAAATTACGACGTACGAGAATGCTTATACCAATTCTTCATCAAATATAAAGAAATTTGCCTTATCCTGTAAATTATACGTCAGCTTGTAAAATGTTTGGTTTCACTCGCATATTTTATGTTCTTTACCTCTGTCGTGGGCGTCAACGACAAACGTATTTTGGTTTGGCTTGCACTTTAATTTCACTTCAATGTTCGTATATAGCCAAACCAAATCCGATTGTTCTGCGATTATTACTGACGTGATGAGGTGCAGTTATATATTATGTTGTATGATAAGGACAAACTCAATAAAAAAATATATATGATATTTGAAAATTTAAAATTAATTAATTAATTAATTAATCGGGTTTAATTTAAATCACAGAGCTCAAGATGTGTACAGAAAACTGATGGATTATTGAAAAAAAAAACATACATATGTGTATAATACTAGTATTAAACGTGAAAAATGCTAAATTCTTTATATGGGTAATAACTTTGGCAAAGTAAAAAAATCAAAGGGAACAATAGAGACTCGGGTAATGCCCTAATTGGCAATGGATAATGCCCTAAATTACTCTTATCGATAAAAGAAAATCAAAGAGAAAAAAAAAAAAAAAAAAAAAAAAAAAAAAAAAGAATAAGAATCCCAGTATATATACATATACGACAATACTATTTATTAAAAATTATAATTAAAAAAACCAGCGTAAAGCCGCGCGGCTATATTATTCTGGTAAAAAAAACCAGCACAGCCGTGTGGCTATACGATTTAAAAAAACAATTTCCGTAGTAAAGCCGCGCGGCTATACTCAGGTATTTTTTATTTAAAAAAAATAGTATAGCCGGGCGATACTCTTTTTAAAAAAAAGAAAAAGAAATAGTGTAGTATAGCCGGGCGGCTATACTGTTAAAAAGAAAAAGGAAATGCTGTAGTGTAGCCTAAGATCGTGATGTCGTCTTGGTAAGCTTAGCATTGAAGGCCTCTCCCTGGTAAACCATCAGAAATACACATACAAAACCAAACAACCTTGTTCAATATCAATACTTGGATTATATAAGCTATCAAATTCAATCCATTGTCATACTGTTTTAGCTTCTCTCTCCTCTCTCCCATATCTAATTGAAATCACATTTATGTCCGGATAGATCATAGCCTTCATCCATCATATACAACACAGGTCATATCAGAAAGACATAACACTTCTAACTATTGGCATACAAGATGACTTTCAGTGATAATCAAAGGGAGCCGGTGCCTCTCTCAATTCCTTACCCTGAAATTGAATATCCTGCAAACAAAAAGACAGACACATTCCGGAAATCCAGAATTAATATGACGAAAGATGAGATAATTTGGAGAACATATGAACATGGTTGTCTTGACTCTTGTTATACGAAAACAGGCTAAAAACATACATACACAGGTGCTCATTAGGCTTCACAAAATGAAACATAAGGATTACTAGAATCTTGAAAGCTTCCACAGAAAACAGAGCTCAATACATCTAAACAAGTAACAAAATTGTAAAACCAATGAAAGGCATGAAAATGGAAAAGGTGTTTAATACTCACAGATGCATAATGGTTGACATCTCGATGATGAGCTTCATCGGCACGAATCACAGTAATAACATCCCTTAGCGTAGCATCTTTAGGAAGCCTCCAGTAGTCGATTGCGATTGCAGGAGCTTGTACATTTTCAATCTTTCCACTATTGATATCCTTCAAATACTCTGTATAAGAGTGTATAGCCTCCTCCTCCAGATACCCAACAATCCTATGCGCCAGTTTGGGAGAAAGCAAATAAAGAACAAAGAAGGCATTGAAGAACAATCCCTGCACAAGAAGAACCAGTAGCCTCTCGTACCACATGGGCTGTACAAGTTCCACCATTGTCATGAGGTGCATCCTCTCATTCTCTGCCTCTTCAAGTAGAGCCTTGACCCAACCACCGCTCTGCTGGAACTTGCGGAGAGACCTTAAGTGCAGTAGCATTCCTCCCACAATGCCAGGGACAGCTGCCACAGTTTCCAGCATCATTGCACGACACCCATACCGTCTCTGAAACATGAAAAAACAGTAACTTTGAAAGCTTCTACACAGATCACATTTCCTGACAAAGAAGAGACAAACTTGACATGCATTACAATTACAAGTGGTTCAATTTAACCACTGTCCTCAGTAAAATTCTGTAACCAAAACACAGAGTAAAAAAACAATAACATACCTAACCAAAACAACATGTTTGCTTCTTATAAAATGCTTCTATAATCGTCCTTCTAGCGACCATGTCATGTATGATAAATAGTGAGTGTAAAACATCTTAAATCGCGGGTAAATCGAGACTAGGGATTGGCATCAAAATAAAATTATCTGCAAGAACAAATGCAGCAAGCAAGCTAAACTTATTTTCAGCAAAATAAGACGGATGATAAAATCGATTACCAAAAAAAACAAAAAAAAACAAATAATAATATATGTCATCTTGCACATAACATGAAAAAGAATTAAAGAAAGAAAAAGAAGAAGGGAGAAGGTAGCAAAACCTTAAAGAAAATATCAGTTGGCATCCGAAGAACCTTGACGGTCCTATACGCAAATCTGTCCATAAACATCTTCGGCACATGGTGCTTGCTCAAATCAATCGATAAGTCCGGTTTATAAGTATCCCATGGCTACATTCATTAAACAAAATTCAAGATCTGCTAATTCATATATAAAATACAAAATTAAAGAAAATGTGATTTCTGAGTAGTCCTCCTGACCATGAAGCAATTCCAAGTCCACTCACTCACGTCCCCTCTTGTGATCTTCGGCCTATAAATCCCCCAGTAATCCGAAACTACTACCCTATCACTTCCTTTCTTCGCATCATCGGAGACTGAGCTCTTGCTCTTCCTCCGCTCCTCCACCGTTTTAGCAGACTGCGGCACTGTGCTCATCATCCTCGTCCCAACGTCACCCTTCAGGGAATGCAGAAACTCGGCGCCGTCCAATGGCGTGAGGGGCACAGCCGTGGAAATGTAACTGTTGCAGTTCTGGGTCTGGCCACCGCGCAGACCGCCCACAACTGACCTCACCGCGATCCTGTTCATCTTCTCCGGGCCAAGAGAGATCGTTAACGTTGGAGGTTTTGGAAATGAACGGTTTCTTAGTTAGTTTTGTGATTTTGGGTCTTCATGGACAAGCGGTTGGGAGGGCAGAGGACTAGGATGTTGCTGGAAGGGATTTTGATCGTCTGTTTCGAGGGAACATCAAACCATTTTAGACCGTTGTTGCTTGGGGCTCTACTATTATGGAAGAAATTTATTTATTTCTGTGGGTGCTTACAATTCTTCACCTTTTCTTAGACAATTCAAAAAAATTTCTAGTGTGATTTTGCATTTACCTTTCATTACTCATTTGTTATAATTGACCAACCAAAAAAAATATATATACAAGTGATTATACTCTACCATGCTATTTATAAGCTTGAAATAATGATGAAGGGGAAGCATGTGCAACATCTCCATTCAAATAATGATGCAGAATAAAGTCATTAACATAAAGATAATTGATTTGAGGTGTGTAAGAGCTTTACAAGCTATTTTTCTATCGAAAGAGAAAGGATTTGGTGAATTTATTTGGTAATTAGCACATCATTGAAATGCTTTAGTAATGTAACAAGTGTAGCCTCATTAAAACCTTGCATTTAAAAACCCCCAAATGGAGGAAAATCCGGTCAAGGAAAAAAAGTACCACTACATCACATCCAATATAAAATTAAATTAAGAAAATAATTTTTCATTGGCTAATACATCATAAATCCATAAAGGACCATCCTCTAACCACACTTGAAAGTTCTGAGACAGGAGCGCTTGCTTAGCCAATAGATGACCAAGTTCAAAGTAGAAGATGAATATTACTAATGAAGAAACTTTATCCCATCTAATCTCCACAAAATAGTAAGATATAACACCCTTAACCAATGGCAGAGCCACCTAAGGCCCAGGCCCCCTCTCATATATACATTTACTTACTATATTTTTGACACAAGTTTTGACACAATTTTTGGGTCATTAGATTACTCCACCTTTAATGGTTGAGATTAAACATGACATGGCAAAAAATTTCTCTTTAATTAATATTTATACATTAGGATTAAAATTCTGATACCATATTAATTAAGAATTCATTCTCTCTCATCTCATTGATTATCTTTAATAAATTAATTCTCTCTCTCTTTCTTCTACAAAGAATTGACGCAACCTTCTTTGCCTTTGTTTCTTCTTTCTCTCTCTCTCTCTCGTCCCCAAACCAGCTTCTTAATTAATATTTGCATTGTGGTTTCATATCATTTTCATTTTCCTCCTAAATTTCTTCCTTTCACTTTTTTTCTAATGTCTAAGAGGTGGAAGACCTGACTATCATCAGAGAATTTATTCAGTGAAATACTTCATTGATAAAAGCTATAGGCAGATCTGACTGGTTTCATATCATTTTCATTTGCCAATTCAATCAAAGAGCTGAGAACTTGAGAGATCAATATAGGCAGATAGAAAATATATTAAACATAATCTGTCAGTGTGAATCGGGTTGAGGCAAGGCCAGCTTTAAAGGTTGTAAAAGCAGAGGAAGCAGAGTCGACAAGGTAGAGTCACACAATCTATGGAGCAAGCAATAAATCTTGAGTTTCCTACCATAACATAGCATATTAAGTCTCACGCATTTGATCGATTTTGGTTCTGGTAGGGGGTTTTGATTGATGACTGTTGTGTGCTCCTCTCTCAATTCCAGTCATCCTCCGTGGCCCATGTGCCTAGGCTTTGTAATCGAGTTGCTAACAGGGTTTGCCTTGTTTGCTTTTCATTTGCCCCAAGATTGTTTTTGGTTTGGTGAGGCCCCTGAGCTTGTTCAGAATCTCCTCACCCAAGACTGTTGCCTCAATTAATCTTCAATGCTTGATCGATTTATTTCCAAAAAAAAAAGTCTCACGCATAATCTATTAAGATATTATCAAGTGTTGAGAGAAAGCATAGCTTCAGTCAGCTTATATTCTAAATCATTAGAGAGAGAGAGAGAGAGATTAGATTACCAAGAAAAAATAGATATTACCAAGAAGAGAGATTACGTTTCCAAGAAAAAAGGGAGGAGAGGAGAGGAGAGGAGAGGAGAGGAGAGGAGAGGAGAGGAGAGGAGAGGAGAGGAGAGGAGAGGAGAGAGAGAGAGAGAGAGTAGATTACCAAGAAAAAATGGATATTACCAAGAAGAGAGATTTCATTTCCAAGAAAAAAGGGAGGAGAGAAAATAATTTTATTTTATTTTTATGAGAGAGAAAATAAAATTAATGATTGTTTATTTAAAACATTAAAACTATTTGCCATGTTAGATTTAATCTCAACCATTAAAAATGGAGTAATCTAATGACCCAAAAATTGTGTCAAAACTTGTGTAAAAAACATAGTGCCACGGATACGCCCCCATATATATATATATATATATTATATATATATATATATTGCTTTTGGACTGCCTCAACCCAATAAGATTGTTGCTCGACTCAAGATGTCATGGAGCTTACTATGTATATATATTATTTAGTTATTTGCCCTTCTCTATATTCAGACTTTTATATAGAAATTTAAAACAACACTTCGATGTAAATTAACACAACAAAAGCTTCAATTTATCTTCTAGTGTCCCTATTTTATACCAAGTCTATATTTTTCATATGGTATTTTTTTTTTAAGATGAATTTTTTTCATATGGTTTAATATGCCCTCCTTGACATGAAAATTCATTCACATCTACCTTCATTTCCTCCTTCAGTATATCTTATATTTAGTGACTTATCCAATCCAATCCAATACTAGACATCAAATGAGCCAATGTATAAATTCTTATTATAAACATTAATATGTAACTTCCAAATTGGGGCTAATGTGTAATATTTGATTAGTTAGGATCCTTAATGATATAAAATAAGAAAACTTGCATAGCCTCCAAGTAAACCCTAAGCTTTTACAGTCTAATGAGAAAAGGCACACATTGATAATTCTCTTACAGTGGGTTTGGATGAGAGAAATAAACTTAGGATTTTGACATAAGTCAGAATTTCTAAATTGACATGAACCACTTCTCGTTTTGGATTTAAAAAAACATAGAAATTTAGAAATTCCGTGTGGGAAAAAAACATGGAATTTGGAGGTCATAAATCCCAACTTTAAATTCTATCTAAAAGTCGTCATTTCTAAAAGTACAAAGGAATTCATAAATGACGGAAATTGATGTCTAGAATTTGTAAAGTTTCTTGTTTGGTCAACAGATTTAAAATACATAATTTAACATTTATTTGTAAAGTTATCTTATATATATATATATATATATATATACACATACAGAGAGCTTCCATTGAGAGATCCCTCAAATAAGTTTATTTGAGGGACACCCCTTGTAGGCCCCACTCCAAATTGTATTTCACTCATCCAAACTGTCTATTTTGTAGATACTCATTCAAAGATCATCTCTACAAAAAATCACTTGAATCCAATATCATTTGACCATTCAATTGAGTTATTGAAATTTTAGTTCTTTCTTAAAGCACCGTGCTTATTGATTTTGTAGGACACCAATTGGATGTCGAAACGGTTTCCAATTTGTCTAATTTTTTGTAAGGATGATCTATGAATGAAGACCTAAAAAATAGATGGTTTGGATCATTGGGAAAAAAATTGTATGGTACCCTAATGGGCATCCCTCAATAAAAGGGGACTGACACACAGAGAGCTTCCATTGAGGGATCCCTCAAATAAGAGGGATCCCTCAATGGAAGCTCTGTGTGTGTGTGTATATATATATATATATATATAAGATAACTTTACAAATAAATGTTAAATTATGTTTTTTAAATCTATTGCCCAAACAAGAAACTTTACAAATTCTAGACATCAATTTCCGTCATTTATGAATTCCTTTGTACTTATCCAACTAGGGGCAAGACCCCAGCATCTCCAAGGGAATACGCAAATGAAATAGGCAAAATTGTACTATAACAACCTAGGTGACATGTTGCCTACCCATTTGTCTCATAAAAAAAGTTGGTTATTGCAAGAGATTAGGCAATGCAAGTGTACAAATAACTTTATATTACTTATTTTTATCTTTTATATTTACTATTATATTTTATAGAAAGTAGGTGAGAGAGTGGAGATGATATTTTATTATAAAAAGCAAGTAGGATCCAATATACCTCTTCTCTTTGAAGTAGGCAATATTGTCTTGTTAAGGAGAGTGTATATATTTTGCCTACCCATTTGCCTTTTCGTTAGAGAATGAAAATGCTGATGTGGCAAGGCAAATGAGATTTGCCTACTCTTTTGCCTCTTCGCTTGGAGATGCTAACTCTCCTATACTCCATTGAAGCTCTGTAGCAATTGGGCTAAGTGTTTGAAATAGTCTTGTGAGAGCAAAGCATGTCTGCATCAATCTGTTCTTTATTTTATTTACAAAAATTCAACTCATCCAATGACAATTAGTGTGGCGATAATTGCAAGCATTAAATGATGAGAAAAATATTTCATTTTTCAATATTGAGACATTTCACCTCGTCGCCTTTGGTTTTACTCATTTGTTAAAGTGTTTTTTTCCTCTTATTCTTTTGACAGCAGACAAAAGATTTCACTCGGTTGCAACGACCAGTATACCTTTGATTACTCGTTTGTTAAAAGTGTTTTTTCCTCATTCTTTTGATTGGAAACAAATTTCAGTAACAAGAGAAAAAAAGTACAAAAAGTGGACAAGACATCCACTTGAGCAAAGAGAACAGATGGCCAAGTGATTATACTTTCCTATACTATTTATACAAACATAAAAAAAAATAATGAAGGAGAAGCATCTACAAACTCCCTACAGAATCAACAAGCTAATTGATCTCTAAATGAAGAAATCTCTTCAAAGATAGGAAGTCTCCTAGACCTTAGAGGGGTCCAGTGCTTCATCAAGTGGTCAAGCCCCTCCAGAAAAGCATCTTCTATATTCAAACTCAATGAATTCGATGACAAAACTACAGTTTGACATTGCTCTAGCTCCTGGAGCAGTTCCTTGGCGCGAATTTTTGATTTGGGCTCATCAGATCCTGAAAGCGCGCCCTGCAAGACATCATCAAGAACTGCTTGTGCCTCGACGTATCGTGTTTGCTTGATCAGGCATAGGCATAGGTTGCAGGCCTTGTTGGCATCTGGGTCGATGATTTGAGCTTTACGATACACCACTTCTGCAGCAACATGGTTCCCTTGTTGCATGTAGGCCCAACCTAAGTTCCCCTGATCACAGATCTGTTAGGTCAGACGTTGAGATGGCAAGGCAAATAATTGATGACATGAATAGAAGTGAAATGCACCTTCCCCCTCCCCTCCCCTTCCAAACTTTGACACAAAAAAAAAGAGGAAGGGAAAACAATTCATTCAGAGGGTTAGAAGCAGCATTATCTATATTAATTAGATTTTGATTCGGATGATGGGGGAAACAAAGCATGGTGAGAAAACTTTGAAGTCAGCTGCGCTTATGTACAATAGGATCTTTCAGAGGGGCTATTAAGGTAATTATCTGAGAAGCTTGTTCTTGCACAAGAAAACAGCCATTGATTATGAAATACTTCATTAGCTGAAAGGTGAATCTTATAGCTAGGAAATGATGCTTATGACCGTACCTTCATTTTTGTTTTATAACTGTTACGGAAAGAGTACAAAAATCTGATTAGAATACTCATCATGTTGTTCTATTACCAAATCAGAATTATTTGCAAAGACAAGGAGTTATACTTAGTAGCTGAATTGCCTGACCAGCAAGCAACTCATTCTGCATATGTAAGTAGGCAGGTGGATTCTTTCTGTTTATATTTTTTTTCTACAAAAGCTAAATCTACAAAATAAACAAATTAGGAAGCAGAATAGTACAGAAAACAGGACTGTGCTGGATAATTGATTTAAGTACTTTTAGATTCTAAAGCAACCTACAGAGAAAACTAGGTTATACTGAGTTTTTTTATTTTTTTTAAATCTTGTTTTCTTGAATCAAGTACAACAAAATCTCAAAAAGGCAACAGTTTAGGTACAGTCACAAGTTTTATGCAGTCTGGTTTAGTGATGGAGAGAAAAGTTACTAATGTAGCTTAGTACTAACCAGTATCCTGGAAGTCTCTTTCTTGATTGTGACTTGAAACTTCCTTCCATGGGAGCGCGCTGTCTTGGTAAGCTTACCATTGAAGGCCTCTCCCTGGTAAATCATCCAAAGTTTCTGCTTCAGTAGCTCTATTTGCTCCTCAACTCTACCACATTTCTGCCAAGTTCACATATATGGTGAGAACCAAATTCCAAAACCTGAAAATTCTTATTATGGTCAGAAAGAGTGACGCTACTTAGGATTTGGACACAAAAGCTAAGTTTTGGGTGGGTAACCCTAAACCATTCTATATCATGCGCAAGCTTCTGCAATAAATTTTTTGCCAACAGGGAGGAGAGGAAAGAGAGAGCATAAGCCCACAAGTGTTCTCCAAAACTGCTCAAATTCCACACAGAAGAGGGTGGAGTGATTGATACTGAAGACATCACCACAATTGCCAATTAATTGAAAAAACATTAGCATTTGTTAGGAACTGAGGGTGGGTCTAAAGTCATGAGGATCATACAGGCCTGCTACAAAAATAGGCATTTGTTGATGAGATATCCATATGCCTCTTTTAGGAAAGGATATCAAGCCTTGGAAATGAGAGCTAAGCTTCTATATTTACCTTGTACAAGTCAATTAGTACATTGTCTAGGGATTCTTGTGCCTGCTTAGAGCAGCGATCCCTGAAAGACTTTATAGCTTCAATTGCTTCTTCTGCTCTATCTTGCTGCTTCATGACTACTGCCATGTCTTTGAGGGCACTATCCACCCTATCTCCAGCGTTTATCGCCTTCCAGAACAAAACTATAGCTGCTTCTGGATCCTTCTGAACTAACTGCATTTGCACAAAGAACATATGAACAGAACAATATTAGCTAAATAGTAGAACGTTTGACAGTTGCTTACCAAACTCAGATTTACCAAAGGATTAAAAAAAAAATCATAACCAATCCACAATCAAACATAAAAACAGCACCAATATTTACTCTGAGAGACTCCAAAAGAACACAACAAGACAATAGCACCGCATGCTTCAACGCCATTTAGAATTGATGAAAAATCTCCAATAATAATAACCAATAAGAAAAATAACTTTCAACATATTCCTCTGCTGATTGGAATTTCAGTTCTAATGCCATTTCTACAAACAGGCCAGAAGAGCAAGAATTTCCAAACTTTCTTCTTAGAATTTGCCATTTGGGGAAAATGAATAACTATCAAAACATAATAAAAACAGAGAAAAAACAATGTAGTTAGATATTGCAAACACTTGTTATGAAATCAAAAGGCACATATCACTCTATCACTCTAATAGTACACTGGTCATGACTCATGAGTCCATAACAACCCAACCCACATGAGTTATTCTCACAGAAAAGAGGATTAGAATAACTTAATAGGGAAAGTTAAATTCCAAATAGGAAAGTGCAAGTTTAATACTTTTTTCATTATAAAACTTTCTCAAACTTACCCTTTTTTGTTTTTGGATTGAATCCTCAAAACCTTAACTTCAAAGGGCCCATTAATGAAAATTAAAAGCTTCCCTAATTTCCCACACAATCATATCTTTGTCTAAGGCATCACTAAATCGAGATGAAACTGAAAGTTCATCAATTGACCAAACCCAAAATCCAAAATTTATAAACATAATGAACAATTGCAGAGCAATTAAATAAATACCCATAATCTAATCTAACGTCTCATTTCAACCCAAACACAAGTATATGATATGAGGTGAAAGAAAAAGACCTGAACGTGCTTGGCCCTGACGTAGGGGCTGTCACCAGGAGGCAGCTTATGAAGAACATGGTAAGGAGGATCCTGCTGCACTTGCACCTGATCGGCCCTCTCTCCTTTTCTCGGGCTCGTCATCGTCTTCTTCCTAACGTCAGCTTCTGAAAACTCCAGACTGTATAAGAGAATTACGGATTTGAAGAGAAGATCTGGAGTTGGAAGGGAGCTAAATGCAGAGGATAATTTATAAATTTTCGAAGAGCTTCTTTCGTCTTCGTTTTTTTGTATGAAATATGAAACGAAATGGGAAGGAAGGAACCTGGACGCAATCGGGTCCAGATGCTTGGTAGAGATGGACGGGAACATGTCCGCTTGCCACGTATGAGTTTTGGAAACGCGCAATTGGCGCAAAGCGAACAAGGAGGGCGAATCAGGGGACGTGACCCTTCATGCCTTGGGGAGACTTTGTATACACATTCGAGCCTCTTCAAATGGCGGGCCTACAAATATCTCCTTTCTATATAACGAAAAAGACACCTGCATGTTTGGGGTGGTTATCAATGAGATTACCTTTTAAAATTATAATTAATAAACAAAAAATAAACTTCGGTAGCATGATTAATATGACTTATCAATCCTGAAACGTACTAAGCTTAAAATAAAGGAACATATAGAGAATTATTTTACGTGGGAAAACTTCATATTTGGGGAAAATCCACGACACTCTTCAGTTCAACACAAATCCACTATAGAACGATAATTACAAGAAGTACTCACACATTTATCTTAGTCACATTCTAGATAATATTTACCGACTTCTTCGTAACTCAACTTCTGTCACGGAATGATCTTTCGAGACTCCTTATGTTAAACGCAATACTGGTCACGATTGCTTCAAGTTACCTGGAAGAAAACCACCATCACGGTCTTGGTGCCCTCAACTGTATGATTCACTGAACATGCAAATGAATGCAATACGAATGATGAAAGCATTTAATAAATCACCAAGTAAACATGGAACACTTGATGACTTATCTCAAAGATATGCGCAACAGCTTTTGTTAGGAAATTTAGATGCTCAACCAAAATGTCTAAAAACTGTAATTGAAACAATGCACGTCCTATCTTTCTACAAACCTATTCTCCTATTTCCGAGAGAATTGCATAAAGTCAAGAGATCAAATCTTGCCTAATCAGATTTGATTCTCTCTACAATTTCATCAACTTATGCATTCTTAAAATAACTTCCAATCCCATCAATTGTTATACAAGGAAACAATACATACAAAGATGAAAACAATTAAACCAAATAGAATGTTCTCTCCAAGTCAAAGATGAAAAATGATATTTTAACTTAAACCAAAATAAGGTCCAATTAGGAAAGTAATCTCAAGAGATAAAATCTAATTATATTTAAAATAGGACTAATATAAAAGTACATGAGTGAAAATAACTCAAACTGGGAATCCTATAATGAATGCATGATTATGTTGATTTACCTGAAATCTCATATCAATAAAGTCACACTTCAAAAATCCAGGATTGAATGTGTTGCGCCAAAAACTTCCAGTAAAACATATTCACACACTAATTCCAGACCTATGCTAGAGTCTAGGAAATGTCAATACAATACTAACACTCAATATGGACTCTAGGGTATCAATTTTATCAATTTACACCATTACGTTTGCAATATCATCCAATTTCATCATTTCGTTAAGTTGACTGTGTGATCAATCATTAAATGCTGACATGTCTACTGTGAGACTCACTTACCAACCAACTAGTTCCTAAATTTTTTTTATATATAAAATGATAAATTAACATAAATTTAAAAATTTTAAAAAAACTTTAAAAATCTCACCCCTTCTCGAGGCCAACATACCCAACACCCCCCTGTTTACCCCCTTGTCCTGCACTAACCCCAGCCCCCATCCATCTCTCTCTTTGGCGTCAGTTTGGTGGCGCAACACCAAAACCCAATTCTAGTAAGAAAAAAAAAAAAGAATGAAGATTTTTTGAGAGTAACAAAGCAACACACAATTAAAAATTCATATTTCATAATCGAAATAAATAAAAAATAAAGGAAGGAAGATTTTTTGAGAGTAACAAAGCAAACATCAATGGAAAATCAAAGCAGCATGATTAGCCTATGACTGGAACGAAGTGGCTACAGAACTAGAAATGAACATAAAATAAGTATAAATAATTTTCAATAAGCTTTAACATAAAATAAGTATAAATAATTTAGGAGTTAGAAATGAACACAAAAAAGCTTATTGAAAATATAGGAGTTAGAAATGAACACTCATTTAATACATTTTATGCTAAAGTTTTTTTTTGAAGTTTTAAATAATTTAGAGTGCTACTATTTCCATTCCCTTGTCCTATTTCCCCACTCACCTTATTTTCAGAATTTTAAAGAAAAATTTACCCATTTACAAAATTACTTCTAAGTCCCTCATCTCGACGAAACCCAGACCGCCCCACCACACATTCGAACCCCACCTCCTCTCTCCTTCTTTTCTCTCTTCCCCCCTCTCTCTCTTTAACAGACCCACCCTACTATTTGTCTTATCTTCCCCACGCACCCATTTACCCTCCCCCTCCTTTTTTATCCTTATTTCTCTCCTTCCTCCTCTCGACAGCCACCCCTATGAATGAATTGATTCTTTATTTTTCTTTCGTTTGTTATTTGGTATGGTTTTAGGTTGAATAACTCAAAGGGTTATTGGGTTTTGGATTGGCAGGGGGTTGAAGGTTAGCATGCTTTCAATGAAAGCAAGGGCATGCTGTAGGGACTTAGTACTAAGAGCACCTCCACCGCAGGCACAGAGTCGGGCAAAAGGCCCCCCCAGATAGCCCAAAACAGCTCCAGCGCTGCACTTCCAGCCCGGGCAAGCCCTGGGTCCCACCAGCCCGGGCAAGCCCAAGGGCAAGTTTCCACTGGGCTTCAGCCCGAGTTCGATGACGTCAGAGTGACATCATCGCACAGTACTGTGCCATATGTCGCAACCCTGACTCTTCGATCCTTTTTTTTTCCAACAATCCGACAGTCCTCGTTTTTTTGGCTAAAAAATTGCAAAAAAAATCGAAAAAAATCTGAATTTTTTAAAAAAAAATACCAAAAAATTCTGTATTTTTTCCCTATAAATACATAACCATTTTATTTTTTCCCTCACATTTTTCTACTACTTTCCATTTGTATAAAAAAAAACAAATGGCATAAAAAATTGCAAAAAAATTCAAATTTTTTTAAAAAAAATACCAAAAAATTCTGGATGTTTTCCCTATAAATACCTAACAATTTTATTCACTTTCCACACCAAATCTTCATCCAAAATATAAATAGTGATACGTGACAACCGAAAATATAATCTAAAAAGCTTATCAAAATTAATGGTTTAAAGTATAAAAAAATAGGAAATAAAGTACAATGAATAGTAATTGCCTTAGACTTGCCCTAGACTTTGCCCTCATGGGTGGAACCACAAATGCAAAGGCTGACACTATTTACGTGAATAGTGGCAGCCCTTGCTTGCCCTTGCCCTAGACTTAGCCCTTGTGGGTGGAGATGCTCTAAGGGGTGTCCTTTGGGATTTTTTTTGGAATTGTGATTGAAGAAGAAGAATAGGAAGGGGTTGTTGGGTCTTTTTATTTATTTTTATTTTTATTTTTAATAATTTAAATTTTTTGCTTCATTTATGGGTTTTGGTTGAATTAATAATGAAATGATATTTTAGAAAAAAAGGTGGGTGGAAAAATAGGATTGTGTTTTTTCAAATTTACATGATGGGTGGGAATATAAGGCGAGTAGGAAAATATGACAATGGAGTGGAAATAGCAGCACTCATAATTTATAGTTCCACCATATTAAATGAACACAAAAAAGCTTCACAAATGCAAATTGCAAAAATATAAATAATTAAGTTTCACATATATATTAGTTGTAAGCATACCAACAATACAAATTTATAAATAAACCCAATCCTAGACATGTATTTATAAAAAAACCCAAGCACTATTTAAACATAGAAACACACCTAAAATCAACCCCAAAATCAACAATTGTATATTTTTTGAGTGTATTTATAAATGGGTTTTGAGTGTGTGTAATGATGGGTTTTGGGTGTGTTTATAAAGTGTTTTGGGTGTTGGGTTTTTTTATAATTTCAACCCCCATTTTGGGTGTTTTAGTGAAACTCCCTAAAAACAATGCCTTATTAGCAAAATGATGAATTTTACTTAGAAAATTGCTTCTCTTTTGGAGACAAATCAATGACAAATATTAAAACTGAGGAGTTAGAGTCGATGACTAGCGTTGATGTTGGGACCATTTTTGACAGCGCCCACAAACATGGAAGACCCATGTGTATTGGCATTGGTTGTGTATTGTTATATATGTATTTAGGTTAACATAGTGGGTTGTATACGCAACAAAAATAATAATAGGATGTATATATATATATATTTTTTTTGAACAGATGGATTTGCCTTTCTATGTGGTGTTAACCCTTGGCGAATGATTAAGAATTTTCATTTAGATATGAACTTTTTAAAAAAATCTCTTTGCTATTTGTTACCTTGACTGTTTGAGGGGATTCTTAAACCTTATTAATATGAATGAGTTAAAGAATAAGTTTTAATTGATACTACACCTACCATAAATTTTTAGCATATGAGCAACCTGTGCAAGAGCATATCATTTTCATTGCTTAATGACCAAATTGAAATTTCATATAAATTAAATAACCAAGAGGGTACTTAACCCAACCACTTAACGGAAACTAAATGCATTTCTATAAATTGTAAACTTTGAGTAAAACAATAACCAATTTGAAATTTCCTATAAAATTCAGTGATCAATTTGAAATTTTCTATAAAATTCATAGACCAAAAATATATTAAACAATTTTTTTAACATTGAAAAATAAATAGCATTGTTGGTGGTTCTTCATTTACTAGCTCCAAGCAATATTTCGAGAGGGGGAATACTGGTGTAGGGAAGCTTGATAGAGGCTATCGGAAATACCCATACAAAACCAGACAACCTTACTCAATACTGAATATATCGGCCATCAAATTCAATCAAAAGTCAACCTGAAACTGCGAGGAATCACATACGGTTTTACCCTCTCATGAGTCATATCTAATTGTAAAACCATCTATGTCCACATAGACCATAGACTTCATCCATCATTTACAAAACAGATCATATCAGATAGACATATAACACTTCCAACAATTGGCATACAAGATGCCTTCTAGTGGTAACCAAGGGGAGCTGGTGCCTCTCTCAATTCCTTGCCCTGAAAATGAATATCCTGCATACACAAAGGCAGACAGAATCCGGAAATCCAGAATTAATAAGACGAGCCTTGAGATAATGTAAAGAACACGTGAACATGGTTGTCTGGTTATAGGAAAACAGGCTAAAACAGACACGGGTGCTCATTATAAGCTTCACAAAATGAATTAGAATCGTGAAAGCTTCCACAGAAAACAGAGCTACATCTAAAGAAGTGTCAAGTGACAAAATTGTAAAACCAATGAAAGGCATGATAATGGAAAAGGTGTTTAATACTCACAGATGCAAAATGGTTGACATCTCGATGATGAGCTTCATCAGCACGAATCACAGTAATAACATCCTTCAGTGTAGAATCTTTAGGAAGCCTCCAGTAGTCAATTGCGATTGCAGGAGCCGGTACATTTTCAATCTTGCCACTATCGATATCCTTCAAATACTCTGTATAAGAGTGTATAGCCTCCTCCTCCAGATACCCAACAACCCTATGTGCCAGTTTGGGGGAAAGCACATAAAGAACAAAGAAGGCATTGAAGAACACTCCCTGCACAGCGAGAACCAGTAGTCTCTCGTACCACACGGGCTTCACAAGTTCCACCATTGTCATGAGGTGCATCCTCTCATTCTCTGCCTCTTCAAGTAAAGCCTTGATCCAACCACCACTCTGCTGGAACTTGCGGAGAGACCTTAAGTGCAGTAGCATTCCTCCCACCATACCAGGTACAGCTGCCACAGTTTCCAGCATCATTGCACGGCACCCATACCGCCTCTGAAACATACATTTCACTAGTTCAGAACTTCAGATCATATTGGAAAGAAAAGGGAAAAAAAACAAGGTTTTGACCATGACTTTTAATTAGTATGATTATGAACAATAACTTAGGAAGCTTCTACACAGATTACAACTCCTGACAACGAAGAGGCATCTAAACTAAATTGCAGTTATGGTATTTGCAAGTGTTTACCCACAAAAATCAACAAACTTGACATGCATTTACAATAAAAAGTGGTTCAATTTTTCGCCTTGAAACCAAGGAAGTTATAGAGCTAAGTACATTTCCCCTAATTGATGTTTACGGAGAGATTCCTTTAATGGAATGTACATAAACTAATTAAAGAACACCAGCTATGCACAACTCTGTGACCATATAAGCAATAACAAACAGTCTGATCAACAACGCTGTTTTCTCTTCACACCAATGTTCTCAGTAAAATTCAGTAAACAAAAAAGAGAGGAAAACAATGATAACATGAACCAAAAATATTCTACAATTGACATGTTCTGCTTCTTGTGTCAATCGATTGTATTGAAAAATTAGTATTTGCATAACATGAAAACGATTAAAAATAAGCAAAAAGTAACTAAAACCTGAAAGAAAACATCAGTTGGAATCCGAAGAAGCTTGACGGTCCTATACGCAACTCTGTCCAGAAACGTCTTCGGCACATGATGCTTGCTCAGATCAATCGACAAGTCTGACTTATAAGTCTCCCATGGCTACATGAATTAAACAAAATTCAAGATCTGCTAAATCATATATAGAAACAAAATTTAAAAATTCAAAAATATATAAATATAATTCTGACTAGTGCTTCTAACCATGAAGCAATTCCAAGGCCACTCACTCCCATCCTCCCTTGTGATCTTCGGCCTCTGAATCCCCCAGTAATTCGAAACGACAACGCTATCACTTCCTTTCTTAGCGTCGTCGGAAACCGAGCTCTGGCTCTCCTTCTGCTCCTTCTCCCCCAGCGACGCCGTTTCAGCAGACTGCGGCACCGTGCTCATCATCCTCCTCCAGTAAAACCCGCCCAAAACGTCACCGTTCCAGCGATTCAGAAACTCGGGGCCGTCCAAGGGCCTGACGGCCACCGCAGTGGAAATGTAGCGGTTGCAGTTCCGGCCGCCGAGCAGGCCGCCGACAACCGACCTCACCGCGATCCGGTTCATCTTCTCCGGTTCGAGAGGGTTTTAGAGATCGTTAATTTGGGGTTTTTTTTGGTAATAAAACGGTTGCTTTGTTGATTTTGTGTGGCTTTTGAGTCTTCAGGGACAAGCAGTAGGGACATATATATGGTAGAGGAGCAGAAGTTACTGGAAAGGGTTTTGATCTCCTGTTTCGCGGGAAGATCAAATGATTTTACCCCGTTTGCTTGGAGAGCAAGTACGGCATTTATTTCTTCCATCACGTGAATCTCGTTGGACAATGGCGTGTTGTGTGGTGGGGGGGGGGGGGGGGGGGGGGGGGGTAGTAATTCTCTGTGCTCAGTGCCACAATTCTTCATCTTTCTCCTAGAAAATTTATTTACTGTTATCCTGTGTGCAGAAAAGTCAATGGTAAAATCACTGTCTTGACCAGCAGCAAAACTTGAGTCAAACGGAATTACCCTTCGCTGGATTCGAAGTACATGGGAGACGTTGTCAACTTGTCATGGGCATTGCTGGGGTGGTTCGGACAATTGCGTGGCTCCATCTATTTTGGACACCCGCTTTTTATGTGGAATTATGGAACTGCCCTTATCTGGATTCCAAATACGTGGGACTTTGTTATGGATACTGCTGGGGTGGTTCGGACAATTGTGTGGCTCCACTTATTTTGGACACCTGCACTTCCGTCGCTGCTAATTTTTAGTGACACGTGTGCGACGGTGGTATTTCCAAGTAGCACCGGCAGACTTTTATATTTCAAAATTCGTCATTGAAAATTCTGTAAAGGCAGCTGTGGGGCAGGAAAACACATGGCATGCACTCTAATTAATCCACGTTTGTCGAAAGTTGAAGATCCTTCCATATTATAATTTAATTTAATGATCAAATTTACTTGCTTCCGTAGGGGGTAGAAATTAAGGAAAATTAGGTATTAGACATTATTAAGTTTACTAATTAGTAAGTGAGATATTAGGTATTTTAGTTTGGGTTTTAATACTTCAAAAAAAATAGCTATTTTAGATTAGGCCAAAGGCTGGCCCAGATTCGTTGGGCCAGCTTAAAAATAACAAATAAAAAGACAATTCTACCCTTTTCTCTTAAAAAGCATGGCCCATCTGTAAACCTACAAATTAAATGACGCTTTTGCCTCTGAACATTTAAACGACGCGCGAGTTTCTTCTTCGTTCGTTTTCGTTCGTTTTCTTCTTCGTTTCAGAGCTGGGTTCTGCCATTGGAGCTCAATTTTCTGGTAGGTTTTGCTTTTATTTTCTTCGTTTTTCTGTCTTCTTTTTTCTGCTACGTTTTCGTTCGATTTGCATGCTGAATGACTGTCAGTTTTGGGTGATTTCTGTTCTCCTTAGTTCGGGTATTTCGAGCTCAGTTTTGTGGCTCGATTTTGCGGCGCGATCTTGTGGCGTTCAATGCTAAACCCTATATTCTTCGTTTCGTGATCAGATTTGATTTTAAGCTGCTGTTTGGTTGTGGAGATTTTTGGCAGTCCTAAGTTTTGAGGTATGAGTACTTTAGAACCTGTTTTCGTTTATATCGACTTGTATGTTTATGGAATTTAGTTATAGTACTTTTATCGTGGTTTCCTTTTGGTTTCTATTCGAATTGTTTTGATTTTCTGTCATAAACTACATCTGTTTGTTGTAGTTTTGGTAGAAACTGCATTGCAGTTTCTTGTTTCATAATTCGATTTCAGACTAATATTTGGAAGTCTATTGGAATTTTACAACTGCTCATGTACATTATTTACTGATTTAAATTGTTTTCTGTTTTTGTTTGTTGTTTTGTTTGCATTTTCAAGGCTAATGGAGGTGTGTGTCATTGCCAAGTGCACATATAAGTCGGAAACCATGATGTTTTCAGTTTCATCAGAGTCATCCATGGTTGATATTTTAGATTAGGCCAAAGGCTGGCCCAGATTCGTTGGGCCAGATATTGGGAAAGGCTTGGGCAGCAACAGTTTTGCAGCTGGAGTTGTGCTTCCGCCAATTACAAAGAGGCCAGCCGGAAGACCACCAACAAAGAGGATCAAAGCTTTTGGTGAATTTAAAAGGCCATTGAAATGCAGTCGGTGTAGTGTTACTGGGCATAATAGGAAGACTTGCAAGGCTGTGATATGAACATTCCTTCTCAGTTGACGATTGCTTACGTTAGATATGGTTTAGTGAATGTATAGTCAGTTTCTGCATTGCACTTTTTGCAAAACCTGCATTGCAGTTTTAGTTGCTTTTAATTGGCTACACAGCTTCTAATTGGATATTATGATTCTTTTTTGAAGTTAATGAAAATTATACAATTGTTTCATGAGTGGATATTCGTTTTTGACTGCCATTGAATGCTTGTTTTCAGATTTGAGCAGATTTTGTTGCAGAAACTGCACTGCAGTTTCTGTTTATTTGTTGCAGATTTTGAACAGAACTTGTCCCATAATTCAATTTCAGAATACTTTTTGCTAGTCTATGGGAATGTTATAACTGCTCATGGAGTTAAATGTGTTTTGATATTAGTTTTAGTACTTTGATTATGCCTTTACCTTTTGAGCAGCAGTGCAGATTTTGACCAGAAACTGCAGCGCAGTTTCTTGTTCGAGACCAGAAACTGCAGTGCAGTTTCTTGTTCGATAATTCAATTTCAGAATAATTTTTGCAAGTATGTTCTCATATACCATAACTAGAAATATTTACAAACATCCACAAGAATTAAGATACATATTGTCTTGAGTTAACGAAAGGCAAATCACTAGAGACGATTAATTACACAGTGTTTGTGGTGTAGGAGTTTTGTGACATATTGTGCTCGATATTCATTCATGAATTTCTTGTCCACACTTTTTGGAATGGGCTGTCCTTGTGCTATTTTATCCATGTAGAACATGACGAACATGCCGCAATCCAACCTGCAAATGAATACGAGATTAGCTTTTGGTTTTGAATGATTTCAAATTGTAATGAATGGTTGAGTAGACACAATTCTTACGAAGATGAATTTTGTTGAGCACATTCTGTGTCATCCTCAAATGGAAACTGATATGGATTTTGCAGAATCCAATTTAGAGTGAGTTCTTCATTTGGGGACAAATCAACCTGTGCAGGTGTAGGGGGCCCTTCTTTTTGCTTCACAAATCACATTCAAGAAGCACAGAAACTGCAATGCAGTTTGTGGTTCACTGCAATGCAGTTCACAGAAACTGCAATGCAGTTTGTGGTTCACTGCACTGCAGTTTGTCTTTCACTAAAATGCAAAAAACAGAATATACCAGAAAATATGCATCTACTTGACATGAAATTGAAAGATCAGCATAGCCAAAACAAGAACTACAAAACATAACAGAAACTACATAACAACATGGCGTGAAATAAGCAACATTCAAGAAGCACAGAAACTGCAATGCAGTTTGTGGTTCACTGCAATGCAGTTTGTGGTTCACTAAAATGCAAAAAACAGAATATACCAGAAAATATGCATCAACTTGACACGAATTTGAAAGATCAGCATAGCCAAAACAAGAACTACAAAACATAACAGAAACTACATAACAACATGGCGTGAAATGCACAGAAACTGCAATGCAGTTTGTGGTTCACTGCAATGCAAAAAACAGAATATACCAGAAAATATACATCAACTTGACATGAAATTGAAAGATCAGCATAGTCAAAACAAGAACTACAAAACATAACAGAAACTACATAACAACATGACGTGAAATGGAAAGAAGTATAAATAATTTAGCAGAAACTACAATGCAGTTTCTGTTTTCTTCAGTGCAGAAAACAGTTTTGATGCTCTTTTGTGATTTTTCGGTTTCTAGAGGTTTTCAAACCAAAACTAAACCCAAAACCTAAACTACATTGCAGAATGACAGTAAGTAAAATTTCAGAACCCTAAAATCAAAGGCAAATTTGTGTTAGGGGTCATTTTCTTACGATTTTTTCCCCAAGAGAGTGCTAAACCCTTCAATCGTCGTCGTTGCTGGTCGTCGCTTCTGGTCGTCGCTCGTCGCTGTTTCAGATTTTGGGGGAATAGGTTGGAACTGCTGAAAGAGAGAATGAAGAATCGGCTTCGATCGTTGGTGGTCTTCGATGATGGTCGCACGAATGGGTTGGTGGTCTTCGATGATCGTTGGTGGTCTTCGATGATCGTTGGTGGTCTGGAGGTTTCTGGAGTTGAAGTTGAAGATGTTTCTGGAGGTGAAGTTGAAACGTCGCGCGAAGGAGTTGTGATTCAATTTTGGTTTCGGTTGATGTCGTTTTGGTTCAGTTTTGGTTTGATGTCGTTTTTCAGTTTTTGTTTAAAACTAAATAGGGAGTTTCACTAAAACACCCAAAATGGAGGTTGAAATTATAAAAAAACCCAACACCCAAAACACTTTATAAACACACCCAAAACCCATCATTACACACACTCAAAACCCATTTATAAACACACCCAAAAAGTTGACTTTGGGGTTGATTTTGGGTGTGTTTCTATGTTTAAATAGTGCTTGAGTTTTTTATAAATACATGTCTAGGATTGGGTTTATTTATAAATTTGTAAACTAAATACTGAAAATGGCATATGTTGTAATTTTCATATTTTGTAATGGTATTTTTGTTACATTTTGGTTTTTTTCCTTTTGCTAATTAGACTAAATTGTATTTCTTTCTACTAAATTAGTAAACTATATTATGCTTTAAAACTAAAGCTCCCTAGAAATTATCAAACGTTCTAAGCATATACAATTGGGGCATGCTCCAATGGAAATGACAAGCAAAGCAATTAGATTATTATTTGTTTGCACTTTTTCAAGTCAAGTCAGGTTTGCACCAGTTGAACTTTCCCATCCTTAAAGTTGTGTGAGGCAAAATATGTGCATCGATGATCGTTAATTTAGTGTATTTTTTTACACTCGAATTTGATTCTGTCTTCTGTAATTTTGCGTAATTTAAATTATTATTTGTATATTAAAAAAAGGGCTAATTCATCCTGATTATAAAAATAGGCCACTAGATCCAATCAAAACGAAATTAAGAAGATAGAAAACAAGCTGTTTACAATCTTATTAGATGTGTCTAAAAAAGGATCTGTGTTCATGTACATCAATTATAATCTTCATGAATATACAATAGAGAATTTATTAGATCATAAAGAGAAAAAAAAAACTCTTTTAATTCTTCACGTACATACAAGATGAGTCTCAGTGATAACCAAGGGGAGCTGGTGCTTCTCTCAACTCCTTCCCCTGAAACTGAATATCCTGCAAAACAAAACACAAAACATATGAGAAACCCAAATTGATATGACACACCTTAAGATAAGATGACTTTGAGACTAATAATGCAAACATGGTTTTTCTGGTTATAGAAAACAGAATCAAACACAAACAATGCTCCTCCATGTATCAAAAGGAAGAAGTAACAAAAATTGTGAAACCAGTAAAGATCATGGAAAGGCAGTTCATAAGACTCACAGATGCAAAATGGTTGACATCGCGATGGTGAGCTTCATCGGCGCGAATCACAGCGATAACATCGTGAAGGGTGGCGTCCTTAGGCAGCCTCCAGTAGTCAATTGCGATTGCAGGAGCCTTCACATTTTCAATGTTGCCATTTTCAATATCCTTCAAGTACTCTGTGTACGAGTGCACAGCTTCCTCCTCCAGATACCCAACAACCCTATGAGCCACTTTGGGGGAAAGCGCATAAAGCACAAAGAAGGCATTGAAGAACACTCCCTGAACGGCGAGAACCAGAAGCCTCTCGTGCCACGCGGGCTTCACAAGTTCCACCACCGTCATCAGGTGCATCCTCTCATTCTCTGCCTCTTCAAGTAAAGCTTTGATCCAGCCACCGCTGTGCTCGAATTTACGGAGAGACTTCAAATGCAGCATCATGCCTCCCACCATTCCGGGGACAGCTGCCACGGTTTCCAGCATCATTGCATGGCACCCATGCCGCTTCTGCAACATGAATAATCTTCAGTTTATAATTTCCGCCAACCATGTCAAATTTTTATGTTCCCCTTTTATAATTTACTGAGAACAAACATCGAAATTCCGAAATTCACAAGCATTTTAGATTGATTCAAGCTTGTAACAGAGTCATAATAAAATCAAAACAAACGGGGGAAAAAAGAAGAAGTGAGGTGAGAAGGTAACAAATCAAAACCTGAAAGTAAAGATCCGACAGAACTCGAAGAGACTTGACAGTCCTGAACGCCGCTTTGTCCAGAAACGTCTTTGGCACATGGTGCTTGCTCAGATCAATCGACAAATCCGCTTCATAAGTCTCCCATGGCTGCACTCAAAATTCAAAGTTCCTTAAATAAATAAATAAATAATTTCAATAATTCAGACTAGTCTAGTTAGTCCTCCTCCTGACCTTGAAGCAATTCCATGGCCACTCTGTCCCGTCCTCCCTCTTAATCTTGGGCCTCTGAATCCCCCAGTAACTGGAAACGACAACGCTACCATTGTCGTTCGAGCTCTCCTTCTTCTGTTCCTTCTCCGCCAACGGCGTCGTTTCGCCAGTCGACCCCGTGCTCATCATCATCCTAGTCCTCCACTGAAACGCGCCCAAAACGCCGTCGCTCCTCCGTCTCAGAAACTCCGAGCTCTCCAACGGCCTCACAGCCACAGCCGTCGAAATGTAGCGATTAAAGTTCCGGCCATTGGCGAGACCTCCGATCACCGATTTCAACGCGACCCTGTTCATCTTCTTCGCTCAAATTTGGGTTTTTGCTTGTAGAAAATCGATTTATGTTTTTTTGTCGTGGTGAAGCTGAAGCGGGCTTGAGCATTTTATATGGTGATTGATTAGGCTGGAAAGTGCTGGAGAGTTTGAAATTCAACGGTAAAATTTTGGCAGTTGACGATCTTGACTTTGCCATCTCTCTTCGTTCTGTCTAGATTCCAAGTCTTTGGGGTTGTATTGGTGCTGTCAAATGGCGTGGACCGATCAAATTCTTGCGTCCCACGCCGGATTTTATGGGAGTGGCACGTGTCTATGTTGCTGCTTTCCGGGAAGGGGGCTGACTGGCGTGGCGGCTGAGAGAGGTAAGAAAGAATTGACTATTTCAATCATTCATAAGAAAGAATCAAGCACATCCTCAATCCCGATTCCCGACTATGCATCTAGAACAA